ACCATCCTAAGAATCTGTCATGAACGTGAAAAAACAGAAGAAAACTGGAAAACACTCATATAGAAACTACCAAAATATGGCTGGCAGGTCAGCAGCATTCCAGTCCCTGAAATACTAGGGAAGCTTATCCTGCTTCCAGTTGCATGATGGGACCTATTGGCAGGCCAATACTATACATTCACAACACATGCAAGAATACATTTACATTGGCCCAATGAACCCCAGCACCAGCTCCAGTTTGACTGGAGTGGGTGCCCAGATTTTAATGTCATCTTATGAACAAAAATTATAACTTCTTCTCCGTTATTGGCTCTCAGACTGAGATTTATTTCTATGCCTCGGGACCAGGAGAAATGCAGGTATTTCCTGAAACTTTAGCTGGTGATCTGAGACCTGATAACCTACTTCAGTCCTTGGAATGTTATTCTTAAAAAGGGATGAGTATGCTGCTTTTCTAGTATTATTGTTGTTATTGTTGTGATCTCTATTATTATTTTTCAGAAATAGGAAAAGGATCCCAAATCCCACCTAATATCTCTGCAACAATATTTTATAAATAAATGTTAATTGTTATACTAAAAAAAGCAGCAGCATCTGTGGTCATAAAGTTGCTTTGCAAAAAACAAACAAGCCCAATATTATTCTCTCATTACACAAATACTATGCTACAGATAATGGCATCACTTAATTTTTGAGCATGCCATGTTGTGAATAAGCGGCATATAAATTTACCAATTAATCAAGATTCCCCAGATAGTGATCTCCTATTTGAAGATATTTCATGTAATTACTTGTCAGCAGCATGAGAATAATATTTCTAGCTCTTAAGGCAATTTTCACTACAGCCAGAAACCTTCTTGATGTGCATTCAACCTCTTGTGTGAAGCCACTAAAGGTTGCACAGTGAGACCTGACACATTTCCACTATCCAGCACAACTTCTAGGCTTCACTCTCTTGGACAACCTTCTAAGTCAAGTCTGTTTTTTTACCTCAACCAGATTCCATCCTTCAGGGTTTAGCAGTCTAGCTTTCCTTCCGTCTTGGCCAGCTTTGCCTAAGGCTTGACATCCTGCAAATTTTGTCACGAGTGTTCTTTCAAGAATGTGAATATGGTATTAAGACTGTGCTCATGACTTCATAGTAAGTAAATCTAATTCAACTCCACCTCTGCTAAAGGGTATGTTACAAGCTAGTGGATATCAAGTTTGCTAACAAGGCAGTTAGGATCAGGTTGTTGGTTTAAAAACAAAAAAAGAAAACATCTGTTACCTTGGCAACAATAGAGAGTGAAGCCTCATTATTATATTTTCTATTGATATTTAGTCATTTCTTCTTTTGGGGGTGTGGTGGTGGGAGAAGAACATTCAGTTTTCTACCTTCCTTAAACAACAAAAGCTGAAACATGGAATAGAATAAAAGGCATAGCAATAAGTCTTAATTCACACACCAGTAGTACAACCCTGTATATCTTTAACCAGAAGTCCTGTTATGGTGCTCACACTCAAATAAATAAGTCAAGGACTGCAAATTCATTTATGTTTACAATAAGAGTTTATATTAAAAACTGTATTTTTTTTCCTCCTGTGGAGAAAAGTATTCTCCTTCCAAATTTATTATTATCACTTTCTCAAGCCAACAGAATTTCAGTTTTATCTCCAATATCTGTTCTTTCATATTTCAGAAAACATAGACAAGACTGATTTGCACATATCAAATTTGTTAAAAACTCATCTTCTATGAGTTCCTCATTCTTTGAAGAGCATCAGTTTTATGCTGTTACTTTGATAGCCTTTGACTGGGAAATAGAAATAATCTGAGCAACTGAATGTCATGCCAAACACATCCCTCATCTTCAGAATTATGCAAATCAGCTTTCTTTCTTTAACTACTAGTCTTCAGAACTTAAGCACTGGACTCCTTTCACATCTGCTTTCACAAATGCCGACAAAGTACCTCTCTAACATTAGCATGCTTTCAGTTCTAATTATGGTCTCCCTCAAAGATCTGTTTTTGGCCTTCCTATCTCAGCTTTTGAATAGAGGTGAGATTGTATTCAAAACTGCAGTTCCATGTTATGGTTTTTGCTGCTACACACTAAACCTAGGTACTGCCTTGGCACAGTCTGAGACCAGAATTGGAGATGTGTCACGGGGAAGTGTCCCTCTAGACTTTGGTCTGGACAGTCCTCCCATTTAGTCTGCAACCTGCCTCACAACCCTGGTAATCCAATAAGTAAGTTAATACAACTGTGAACCTCATCCATAAGAATTCTTTCAAATTTTCTCCCCTTAAATTCTTTCTTTAAAAAAATTATATTCTGTGAAACTGAATGAAAACAGTCCTCAAACATGGAGAAAATTATGTTTGCAATTTGATGAGGAATAACTTCATTCTTACAATCATCAGTTTATAGCATTCTCATTATTTTTTTTTTAAAAAAATAAGTTTTAAGCCTTTTTGGATAATACAAAAAACTTTTTAAAAATTTAACTAAAGCAGCAACCTGGGAGTAGAGGGCCTCAGAACTGTAACTGTTATTTTCAAAGAGTAATGTTATAAGCTGCTTTCTACTAATGGCAATATTTTTTGAATTTTATTGTTTATTTTTAATGAGTACTAAGTTGTTTCTGGGCCTCCCTCAGCATGAAGTACAATGAAAGACAGGATAAATATGTAGAAAAATAAATAAATTCCATCACTAAACAGATCAAAGAAATGGGAAGAAGGGGCAAAAGAGAACTAAATAGAACTACAAGAAAAAGGGGAACCTAGAGAAGTCACATAGATGTAGACACCAACAAGGAACAAAATCCTACTACATTAATTTTAGGGGTCTATATTTGATTAGTCATTTTCTCAGCCATTTCTTTATAGGAATATATCCCCCCCCTTTAAGAACTGCAGTACTGAATGAAGACTGTTAAAAAAATTACACACAATGGGAATAAACTGAATTCTTACATTTCACTAACCAGAAAACCTCTATGTGAACAAAAAGTCCAGGTTTTCCTTTAATAAACTGAGCCAGGAAAAACACCTGATCGCTGCATGCCATTCTTTTCATTTCCTGTAGTCCACAGGGTCAGTCCAGTAGCTTCGCTTGAGGGTCTTGTGATGTGAAATCCTGCAGCTCCAACAACAACAACAGATGGCTTAGGGGCCCCGGCTGTATTACTGTCAACAATGCCCCCATCTGCCAGCCCCCCCCCAATTCTGTTTTGTTAGTTTGTTTAAATTTAACTCACAATGCAGCTAAAAAGAATCCAGGAAAATTATGTTCTATGTGTCTAATTTTTTTCAGAGATTCCCACTGTGACATTATGCTGTGCTTCTCTGCAAAACCTATTTATCTCCTGTCACTTGGGATTTTCTTGGCACCAGAAAATAGCTAGATCATTTCCAATCCACTCACACCTTGTGAATTCAAAAGTTTAATTCAGATAAAGATTGCTGTATAAAATTGTTTAAATGTGGCCCCGAATATGAAATAAAGATACAGTATCTATTTGACTGACATGGAAGAGAAAGGATCTGAAAAGGAAGAATCATTTTTACTACAAAACCCAAAATGCATTTTAAGTTTATTTATAGTACCTCTAATTTCACCAAGCGCAAGTCTAAAATTCCCACTAGCTCTACCTCCCTTTCCCCCTTTCTTTCAGTATGACTTGCAGAAAATGTAATCTGTTTATTTGTTCTTCTTTTCACTTCTCCATCTTCCTTTCTCTCTTTTTAAACATTCTTCATTTTCGACAAACATGCTGGCTGTGAATCCAAATCATATCCTTTTGAGCATTTTCCATGCCCGGTCCCACGCCCAGATCTATTTCTGCCCAGGCATCAGTTTCAGTTTTTCCCAAAAAAACCAAAAGGGAAAGGACTAATAAGAAAATTACTAGTCAACGCCAAAAGGGACGACACGCTAAGGGGTTGATCTACACGGCAGTGGCTTAATTAATCCCGGAGGATCGGGTGAAGATGACTGAACAAGCATTTCATTTCGTGGAGAATCACAGATGATCACATTTCTCACACAAGCATCACTAGAGTCTGATCACATGATAGTTGCTTGGTGCACTATCATAAACAAGGCGGCCTTGCCTATCACAGGTACCCCACAGCATTCTGGGATACCGCTTGCTAAAAAAAATCCCTCTTTGGGGTAAGCTCGGCCC